GGAAGGAAGGAAGGAAGGAAGGAAGGAAGGAAGGAAGGAAGGAAGGAAGGAAGGAAGGAAGGATTGATTTCTGCCTGCCTGCAATGAATGAGTTGACCTTTAAACCTCTAACTGGTATTAAAGACAAAATCAGCATATTGCCATCTCGTAGGTTTGACCTTGTATCTTTGAGCAGAGTTCAGCAGTACCTTTCACATATGAAGATTCAGTGGAGTTCACAGCTGCTGTGAGCTGCCTTTTGTCACCTTGGTGGTCTGTGCTGTTCTGCTGAGATCTGTCCTGGTTCTGGCTGATTGCAGATCTTTCCAAGCAGCCCAGGCATTGCCAGGTATTTAATGCCTGACCTGTGTCCCCTTACAGTTGTGCAGAGTGCAGCTTTTCAGCATTACATAAACTTACATCTGAAGGTGCTGGCTGGGCTCATACACAGCAGAATGCTTGAGTCTGGTTTTATGAGCTGTGTGCATACATACAAGCGATTCAGTCATACTGAATCAATGACTGAAATAAAATGTATTGCTGATATGTGGATCTTACGGTAGATTCAAGTACATTTTGGTGAAAGAAAACCTCGATATTCTTCTGTGAAATCACATAGAGGAATAATTTTAGCTGTTTGGGTTTTATTCCGTATTAAATTATTTTTAAAATGGACTGATTCTAGTAGCCACTGACAAGTACAATCTCTGCCTGCTAATAGTTCTGTTTTCATTAGACCAGTTTTCATAAAGCTTGTGAGAAAATATATAGGTTCAATATGTTCACCTTAATTTAAATTACTCTCAGACCAAAATTTTCCTTGTACCTTGTGTCTGTGAAAAAGGCTGCACAACATGCTGGTTTAGGGGAAACCACAGATTTATAGATCTTAGAGCAAAGGGAGAACACAATGTTCATCTAAACTGACTGCAGTCCTGCCCAGACTTTAGGTTCTTTTATTTAACTCAGCAGCTTGGGGTTGACCAAAAGTATAATTTTGGAACGATACCCAGGCTTGATTTAAAGACTGCTGCAGAGTTTGTCACAGTCATTGGGATTTTGTACCAATGGTCAATTACCCTTTCTCTGAAAAATGCCCTTTCTCTGAAAAATACACTTTCCCTGAAAAATGTGTACCTTATTTTTTGGAACTCTGTTAACTTCTTTCTCCTAAATCCTGGATTTTGTTGCTTGACAGCCTCAGCAGGACTAAGGAGCCTTTTATTTTTCTCACAGATGTTTCTTGTGATTGTTAGTTTGTATTTGTGCAGAAAAATGTCAGAAAAATTTCTTTATATTCAGAAGCACAGTTAGGCAGATGTCCTTTAGACCCCAGTATTCCTGTGCTAAGGATCTGACATAATTAAAATCTGCCATCTTAGAAAAGAGTTGATATGACTATGGTGCTTTCTGTTTCAGTTACCAACCATTGGTTTGTGATTAAGTCTAATTAATTCATGGCTTGGGTATCAGTACTGGTGAAGAAAGGGTTTTTGGTATATGCTGTACTTATACAGTAGGAATCATGGTTGTTTCTGTGTTCCTCAAAATACCATTTTCAGCATTTCCTTGTGCGTGTCAAGCATGCTTTGCAAACGGCTTGAGCTCTCTGTTACTGTTTTTCCCATAAGCAAATCCCTTGGAGTCATATTTTGATGATATCAAAAAGTATCTTGTCCATGGTCCAATTTTGCCTTGTGCCTAGGCAAAATCAATAATTACTCTAAGCCTGCATTATCTTCCTTCTATTCTTTTCCACTGAGAAGTTGAAATGGAGTCAACATATTATTTCCCCAGAGAATGAAAATTAAAAAGAATTTTCAAAAAGCTTGAGCAGTCACCTGTGTCTTGTCTCACTTGGTTTCTTTGCCTTAGGAACCAAGTAAGATTGATGGGAGACACTGTCAGTAGATCCTGCCTTGATGCATTTGTCTCAGTGATTTATGAGTAATTATTGTTCCTCTTTTCTCCTCAGGGCTCTTCCTGCAATGATGGAGTGGGTCCGAACTCAGAAGGCAGGAGAGAGTGGTGTGAATATTATCACTGCAGATTTTGTAGAACTTGGTGACTTTATCAGCACAGTCATAAAGCTCAACTATTCTCTGGATGAAGGTGAAGATGACACTACTTGATAGTACTGTGATATGTGTGTTGTTGCGTTATTCAGAATTTGGAAAAAAAGAAAGATTGTATTCTAAAAGGATTCTATTGTAAAACACTCATCTCCTTGTAACACACTGAGGTGTTTAGGGCTTTAGTGGGTGGGCATAAGGGAAATGTTTTCATCATTTAGGATCATTTTTCATATTTGTGTTTAGTGTGAAGAGCAAAACTAAACATGTTTACAGTGTTTGATAAAAGAAGGCCATTTACTGGTTCTCCATGAGGTACCAAATGTGATTCATGTGTCTTCTGTGGTTATGAACAGTGCCAAGAAATTTGTTGTTTTCAGAGCAAGGGGATGTATATATTGTCCTCTTCCTGCTCACAGCAGGATTCCCAATGGTGTGGGCATTGCACCAGGAGACTGAGGACAGTATATCTGGCACAAAAATTTTAAGCTGCTACATTTCATCTGTTAGGTGGTTTAACTGATCATATTTATCAATGAGCTGCTGGTTTAAACGCCTTTGTGATGTAAATCCAAAGTCATGCTTCTAACACATGCATAATCAGTGACAGTAAACATGACGTGCTATGTACCATAATCAGTGGACAGTAGACATCATGTACTGTGTAGCTTGCACAAAGCACAGATGGAATCCTGCTTGTTTTTCATTCTCAAAAGGGGGTTTTCCAATGTCTCTGCCTCAGGTCAAGCCAGCAGGTATGTGATACTGGCCTAACTCTGTAATCACAGAAAGGCCTTGGTTGGAACCTTAAAGATTATTTAGTTCTAACACTCTGGCCATTGGCAGGACACTTTTCACTAGACCAGGTTGCTCCAAGCTCCATCCAAAGCCTTGCTTTACACATTTTCAGGCATGGGCATCCACAGCTTCTCTTGGCAACATGTTCTAGTGCCTCATCACCCTCACAGCAAAGAATTTTTTCCTAATATCTAATCTAAACCCCCTCTCAGTAGCCACTCCCCCTTGTCTGTTGCTACAAGCCCTTGTAAAAAGTCTCTCTTTACCTTTCTTGTAGACTCCCATCAGGTACTGGATGGCCAAAATTAGGTCACCCCAAAGCCTTCTCTTCTCCAGATGGAACAATCCCAATTCTCTCAGCCTTTCCTCATAGGAGAGTTGTTCCATCCCTCTAATCAACTTCATGGCCTCCTCTGGGCTGGCTCCAGCCGGTCCCTGTCCCTGCTGTGCTGGGAGCCCAGGGCTGGATGCAGTGCTCCAGGTGGGTCTCAGCAGAGCAGAGCAGAGGGGCAGAATCTCCTCCCTGCCCTGCTGCCCACGGGGCTCTGGGTGCAGCCCAGGACACGTTTGGCTCTCTGGGCTGGGAGTGCCATGGCTGGGCCATGTGCAGCCTCTCACCCACAGCACCCCAAGCCCTTCTGGGCACGGCTGCTCTGGGGCTGCTCATGCCCAGCCTGGGCTGGCACCAGGGGCTGCCCCTGCACTCAGTTTTGTTAAACCATGTGAAATTCCCATGGACACACTTCTTGAGCTTGTCCACATTCATCTGGATGGTATCCCATCCTGAAGGTGTGTCAATAGCACCGCTCAGCTTAGTGTTACCTGTAAATATGCTGAGGGTGCACTTGAGTCCTCATCTGCATCATTAATGAAGATATTAAATAACACTGGTCACAATATGAGCCTCTAAGGGACAGCTGCTGGTCCATATTTTCCCTGGTTCCATCAGGAACACAGGTAGGCCAGCTTTGAGTGCCACTTCTCCCCAGAATTAATCTTATGTAAGAGCCTGATCCCGTGCCCTGAATATGGAAATGACTTTGTTTAGCATGGATTAGCAAAAGATGAGTTGTGCATACTCTAACATGTGCAGTATTTTGTCCTGTGGTGGAAACCTGATTTCTGCAAGACTGAAACTGCACTTAAAAGTAGATGCAGTCTAAGCTTCTCTTTAAGGCAGCTATGAGCAGAACACTTTTCCACTGATTACAAAAAATCAGTGCCAGTTTCATCAGTGAAAAGTTCCTGTACTGAAGAATGCAGTAGTTCAATTCTAGCTAATGACAGTACTCTATAGTCCTTAAATTGTCTGTGGGATACAATACTGCATAACACAAGGTTGAAAATCTACTGAATGGCACTGTTCCAGCAACAAAATCACTGATCATCCTAGCTTTAAAAAAACATATATAAAAAGTAAATGGAAAATTCAGTAATTTATAAAATGAGAGCAACTGTATGACATTGCAACTGTATGACACCTAACTGGATAAAATACAGGCAGTCTCATCTCCCGGACACATCAACAGACGCTCACACGACTTTGGAAAATAAAACATCTCATCTGTACAAAACAATAGATGCTATTACATCTCACAAGGAAATGTTTGAAATATTGCAAGGATTTATGGGATAGAATTAAGGTCAAATTTCACTTGATATTACTAGAACTTTTGGTTGAGTGAGAAGAGAGAATTGCATCATAGAGTCCATTGCTCTTTTATGTCAGATGATAATGACTACTGTCTCCCATCAGAGTTTAGGAATTCAGAAATTGCCATATTGAACAGATAGGCAACAAGCATTATAGGGGGTTTCTTGGCTTTAGTTTAGGGAGTGAAATAAAAAGAACACTTCCTGCTGTTTTGTACTTGGAAAAAGAGTATGCACATGTGAGTGTAGAATAAAGAATAATTTAGGTGTATGTGTAGTATAATGACACTTTTAAATGTGTATGTATAACACATGCATCCTTGTACACTTGCATAATGATCTTCGGGGTTGTGGACAGGACTACTATAAATCTGTTTGAAAAAAACCATGCAGCTGTTATGAAGTCATGATGGCTCTTTCAGTAGCATTCTCTTCTGTATATGTTAGGACTGTACAAGTCATCCCAAATGAAATCTGTGATCTAAGCTAGTTAGGTTTTTTATGGCATTTAAACTTCATCCAGACCATGTCGAAAATTTACCTAGAGTCACAAGTCATGGTTTTGCTGAACAAAGGGTATGACTTTAATGTTTTCACCCACAACTAAGCAAGTTATTGAGTGGCTTGATAGTCTTTGTTTCTGGTTTCCATAGGCTCTCCCAGTAAAATTTATGTAACAGATATATAAAATAAAACATGAAAATAAATTTTGAGCCCACTTTTATGTGGGCGTCCTACATAAAAATATGAAAATGTTTGCTTATTTAATGACAGTGTAGTGTAAAGTGCTCTCTTTTCCATTTAGCTGGAGTTGGTTGTTTCCAGATTCCTCCTGTGATTCTTCAGCTGCTCAAATATAGCCAAAAGAGTTAATCTATAATTTTAATACAGTAAAGTGATCCAAATCATTGGGTGGAGTGAAAATTGGATTTCTTTTTTTTTTTTTTCCTTTTTTTTTTTTTTTTTTTTTTTTTTTTTTTTTTTTTTTTTTGATTCTGGCTGAAATTCTGTTTCATCTAAGAGCACCAGCACCAGGTTGCTGGTGGTACCCCTGCTGAAACACACACCAGACACACCAGGCTTTTCGCTTGCTCAGAGGTGTACTCAAGGCAAATGCTTTGCTGTATTTTAAAAAGTGTATGTGTATGTGCCTGTATATATGAATAAGTATAGAGCTATCTAGAGTTTGTTAGTATTGTTATGAAATGTTTGCTTAGTGTCAATTTTATTCTAATTCTCATTTGGAAATAAATAAAAAGTAAAAGCAAAGCAAAAAAGAATCCTCTGACAAGAAACAATAATAGACAAAATTTATCATTTGTCCATTAATGGGGAAGAATGCTAGCAAAATCTTAAATTCTGGTCAGAAAAAATATGTTTTCATTTAGCTGTCGATCTTTCTATTGGAGAAGCACAGCACTTTATGGTAGGAACAGGTAAACAAACTTGCCTTAATAACTAAAAGAAAAAAGTGCATGTGGGGATATACTATCCATGCTCTTCTGAAGATTTCATCTGAGAGGGCCTAAAACTCTAAGTCCTGATAGAGATGCACTCCCTGTTGATGTTGTTTGGGGATCTTGCCAAAAAAGAACAAGCCAGAAAGTACTATGCAGCACAACTGGACCGTTCAAGAGCCCAGTTTTGCCACCCATATGCAGCTAAAATTGTCTTTGATTTCAACCAGAAATGTGCTTGCAGAGTTGGGTCAGATGTCTTCTTCTGATCCCATGAACTTGGAAGGTTTCTTCATATGTATTATGAGGAATCTTGCATGGGAAATTAGTTGACTGTAATCAGCCCATCAAGGAAAAACACCTGTCTACACTATTGATCTGTATAAGCATCTACTTACTCAAACTGTCATGTCACTCACTGCCAAAACATTTTTTTCCTTCTTCTGCTTATTTTCCCCCTCACTATGTTCATCATGTATACATCGAGTGCTCTTGTTTTCTGGCAGTTTCATGTGATTTCTTAATCCTTTCTTTTCACCCATACTTGGAAAATGGCAACTGTGCTGCACAAACAGAATGTCTCAGCTGTGTAAACCCACCTGGCTCCGTTTTTCAGTTTACACATGCTGAGATATCTTTGTTCCATACTGATCCAACCTGCAGAAATCCAGTCCAAACAGGAGGTGGTTCCTGGAGTGCAATTACTGCCTTGTATGGTGAGGGGAGAATCGGAATCAGACCACAGGAACATAGTTTTAGAATTAATGGGTTATTTGAATTCTTTTGCTGTTGGATACATTACTGGTTTTCTAGGTCCTGCTATTTCAAAACATTATTTTAAATGTAAGCATGTATATATATACATAAAAATATATATGCATGCATGGCTGAGAGGGAATGTATGATCCTGTGGCTGGGCTCAATCTTTCTGTCATACTCATACAAATCTAGACAGTTTCTACTAACTTCAAAGTAGTTACTAAGCCTTTACCCTGAGATGAGAGTGAGCAGAGAGTCACTGTGTAGTAATGATAGGCTGTGTTGCAAATGAAATTTAAAAATGTGGAGCTTAACTCCACAAAATAAAAAAAAAAAGCAGAGTGCCCTGAAAACACAGTTCCAGTGCTGTTTATCCTCAATTTAGTATATGAAGCACTAGTTATTAGCAACTGATTAGGCCATTTGGTGATTTCAAGAGTTCAGGTAACACCATTTCAAACTTCTAAATTCCTTTTCAGTGAAGTAAAAGCTAATAGTGTATGATGTATTTGCCATGTCTCAGTGGTAGCTTCTGTGTTACATACAGTCAATGTTGTTCTGAATTGTATATGTTTACCCAATGATGAGGTTAAAATACGCTGTATAGTATGTGTAATGTACTGATTACAAGTATTTGGAGTTCAGTGGTCTATTTAGTTTTTACTGTGCTGGTGTTTCGTAGATATGTGTGTAAATGGGATTATGGATTGTCTGCAGTGTATGAGGAAATAATAATTAATCCTAAAGGAAAAGGGCAGTTATGTGACCTGCCTTAATGCATTAGGATAATATTGTTAAATCTCATAATTATCGGTTCTGTTTCAGATGTTACCAAGGGTTGTCCATAGAGCTGACTCCCTCACTTTCTGGCACGAAGGAGTTAAACTTGAAGTTACTTGGAGCTCACTTACAGATTTGTAAATACAGAATAGGATGTTTGCCTGATCAACTGCCTTGACTGTACGAGGTGGCAAAGACATGGTTTCCAGTGTGTTACAGATCAAATCACTTCTGCACACACACAGCCCCTGCTGATCTCAGCAGGAATTGTGATCATGTAATTGAGTGGCCTCAAATTCATCTTCTGGAACATAGTCATGATAGGAGGATGGGGATATCCTGGCTTTAAGAAAGTGCCTGGATGCTATGCAATACTGCTCATGTCCTCTGTTGGAACATAGCTTTAAATTTGCAGGAAGAGCTTTGAACTTTGCTCCAGTGTAGGTTGGACCTATCAAAAAAAAATCCTTATGTAAAAATTGTGAATGCCATAGGCTGATCAGCATGGCCTGGCCTGCCCATGTATACAGCATTCTGCTTTCAGGAATTGTGGCAGCTTTAAATAAAAAGACTCTAATAATTCTTTATCCCTGCAGGGCCTACTTAGGAATCTCTACATTGCCTACAGGTACAATTCCTGTACTATTCCCACAGCTAGACCTGGCTTTTTCCCTTCATGGTTTGTGTTTAGGATGCCTGATGCCAAGAGCAATTAGGATAGAGGAACTAACTAAACACAGCGAGTGCCCACCTTGTGCCTGGCTGGTTGGAGTAGGGTGCCTGCCCTCCAGCAGCACGTTTGGTATGAGGTCAGCTTCAGTCAGATCCACGTGAACAGGGACTGAGGGAAGGCACAAGTCTGATTTCAGAGCCTCTTCAGTTGTCCAGTTAAAATGCAGCATCTTCCCACTTCTCTCCTTTGCCTCTGCTCAGTGCTGCTTATCTGGATTTGTGCATAACATCCCGTTACCTGCCAGCTGTAAATCTTAGATATTTGTCAACCTCAGTGCATCACAGCAGTCCACATGGTTGTAAAAGATGTTAAGTGTGTGGGGCTAAAAGCTGGAAGTGGGCCTCATCTGATGTCCCAGGATGGTTTATCTCCACGTTCCGAGTTATGTACACACATCCCCTTGAAGAGGCATCACCTTGGCCAATGAGTATCTCCTAAGAGGGAGGTGCACTTAGAGGTTTTTGTTTCTGCAGCAAGATTGCATGTACTAATTTCTCCTTCAGCCTTTGGTCCTACAGAGGTCAGTTTGATTGGAAAAAAATCCTCAAGTAGCTGCAATTAGTTTTGCTGTGAAGCAGGGATCCTTAAAGCAGAATCCTGGAGTTATTTGTAATTACTGTTATTGAAAATAAAAATACGTGGTTAAAAACACAATTTTAAAAAGAAAAAGAAAAATTATATGGGCTTGCCAGGACAGTTAAGTTTTTGACTGCCTCAGTCATCAGTAGTTTAGTATCATCTAGGTGATGATTTTTAGCATGTTATTGCCACACTGCCTCCTGACACTGTTCAGGGTCTCTGTACAGAAGCCTTATTATTCCCAGCGAGCATTAAAGCATTTGAATGACTTGTCTCCGTTTTGGTGGGAAGGATGATTGTGTAACACTGAGAACATGGAGCTCCCTGTGTGTTGTGCCCACAAAGGTTCACAGAGCTGCACCTTCTCGTTTTAGGATCTGTTCAATGGTACTTTAATAAATGTTGTGTTAAAAATGCCTACAGTTCTGTATAGCAAATGTGAATTTTTATGACAAGAATGTGTATTTAGAGTAAAAAAAGTAATATAAAATCCAGTTTCTTTGTATCCAGTGAAACATCTAATAAAGCTCTGGTACCTGTATTCTTGTTTTATGGCTTCATTGCTTCATTCAAGGCTTTTCATGTGGGAGGCTTTTTAAGCACAGTTTGGGGTCATGGCATGGTGCCATATATTAGACACAGGCTGTGCTCTTATGTTAGGGGTGTACATGGACTGTCCCATGGGGGATTGCACTGGCAGTCTCCTTTTGACTTGTTAATTGTAGGGACCCTGCAATACCATGGGATGCTGTGAGTGTCCATGGTGTGTCCATGGTGTGTCCATGCTGGGAGTGTCCATGCTGTCCATGGTGTGTCCATGCTGTCCATGGCGTGTCCATGGTGTGTCCATGGTGTCCATGGTGTGTCCATGCTGTCCATGGTGTGTCCATGGTGTGTCCATGCTGTGAGTGTCCATGCTGTCCATGGTGTGTCCATGGTGTGTCCATGATGTCCATGGTGTGTCCATGCTGTGAGTGT